TTGATTCAATGTTTCTGGCTGACATTGATTCAATGTTGTTTCAATCATTCTGTGCTATCTGGGTCCTTAGTCCTTGACCTGGTCATTGCAGGTTCAATTCCCTGGTGACCTTAGTTGCACATCTTCTCTCTCTATTTATCTACTTTCCTATCTTAGCACTTTCAAATAAATTTAGAAAAAAAAAGTTTTAGCATGACTGGACACAATACCGGTGAGACATCACTCCATAAACAGATGATCAGGTTCGCAGCATTACGCAGCCCCTCTGTGTTCATCACAGCACTGCGCCTCACATACGTCAGTTTAATGAGGAAATGCTGCCCCCTACCGTTAGTGATTCACAACTTCATCATTCCACGAGAGCTTTTCTCAGTTTGATAGTACTTAACCTAACAAACAAACACACACTCTGTGGTACCCAAGAGGTGGTGTGTTCTACACTAAACTATTACTAGACTAAATTATGCACAAATATGTAAATCTGACTTGAGAAAGATTCATCCACTACCAGAGTTGGGTAGTAACTAGTTACATTTACTCGATTACATTTACTTGAGTAACTTTAAAAAAAAAAAAAAAAAGTACATTTGGGAATATGTTTATTATGTTGTACTTTTTACTTTTACTTGAGTAATTTTGTCATGAAGTATTTCTACTCTTCAGTAAAATTTCTGGATTCTACAGACTGTAGACAGATAAGATCATTGGCAGACACCTGGTCTGGTATTTGCTCTGGATGGAGCAGCTCCTCTTTCTAGGAATCTGACTGAATTTATATAGAGAAGCACCGAAAGCCCAGGAAGGAGCATCTGTGCTGTTTTCCACCTGTTACCCCTTGACAAAATCAGATGAAAAACTAACTTAGAAGGAGTAGATTGGAAAAATAACCAAAAAAAGATTTTCATGAACAACACAATAGAGCAATTAAATAGGGTTTTCTGAAGACCTCTCTCTTTAGAGACATTTGTTAATGATCTGATAGGTAATAATCACATTGCCTCACAGAAACCTGTATGCAGCAAGGGGATTATTATGGTGCCATAAATGAGTCAAACACTTCCTCCATTATTTGGATTTTTAGATTTCTCAAGAAACCTGGTGAAGAGGAGGCATGACGACCTGATGTCACAAGTGTGTCGACGTGACCAGAGTGTAAGGAGCAATGTGGAAACCACATAGTGGTTAGAGGAATTCATGAAAACTGTTTACATCTTCCTGATAGAACACTGAATTGTCAGCATATGCAGTCAAGTTCAACAACGTGCTAAAATCTGATGAAAAAAATAGCCCCATCAACAGAGGACCTAATATTGTTTAACATTTAGGTCCTCTATTGAGGGCCTCAACGACACATGACATACCAGACATTGAACAACCGTACCTGATACCGCCAGACACATTCAAAGCAACCATTCCTGTTCAACACACTTTCAAAGTCTTCATACAACATCTCGACTACGGTTGATGGCAATAAATTCGAAGCCGGGGGACGAAGAACTCATCCAACAAGCTAACTCAGCAGTATGGAATAGGTGGAGAACACAAACAATGTGAACTTGAAGACCGCATCAGAAATCTGCAAAGAATTTCCTACGTATCCCCTTCCGACACACACACACACACACACACACACGCACGCACCCACACACACTGCACTTAAAAACTGTCAGGAACTTGGGTTGTTCGTGTGTGTATGTGTGGTTTCTATTCTTTGAGTAGATCAGCAGTGTTTTATGTTTTCCTTTGCTTCAATCATTTCTTACTCTTGGTTTATTATGTTCCTCATGTCTAGTTATTTCTGAGTATTACGATTCCAAGTCACCCAGTTTGTGTACTCTCCCTCAACCCCTGTACCATTTCCCCTCTCTCTCCTGCCACCCATTTCTAATCTCTAATTAGAAATATATATATATATATATATATGTATATATATATATATATATATATATATATATATATAATTATTTATTTATACCACATGTATAATATGTAATTTACATATATATTATATGCAACATACATATTACATATGTACATACATATGTATAAATCTATCTGTATATACACATAGATGTATATATACAACGTGTAATTGAATTACCATTTTCATTTGTTTTTGAAAATTAAGACAAATGTAATTTATTTGTCTTCAATTTTCCATATTTCATTTAATGACCAAAGATTAGCAACTGGGCGCCGCCGCCGAGCATCAATGTCCTCTGCGCTCCTTCAGCCTTTCTGCTCCTGCTGATTGATCCTAAAACTCATTCATCAGATCCAGAACCGCTTCCTGACGTAACTTTCCCACTTATTTATTTAACTCCGCGCAAAGACGCCGAGCCTACATTTTTTCCCCCTCCGGCTCCCGCTGCGAGCGCCTCGGTGCCGTGCAGTCAGCAGGGGGCATGCACATATAGTTATAATAATAATAAAAAGAATGCATTTCAGGAAAACCAGCTAAGACGAGCCTCCATCGCTTCGCCCGCCCGCTCCGCAAACGCAAACACGGCTGCGGCGGTGATGGAGCAGCGAGCTTAGCTTCATGTGTCCGGCGGGACTGCCCCTGGCTTTTTTTCTGGGGAAGATCATATTGGATCATATTGTTTGCAGGACGTTGTTCCTCCTGCAGCCCCCCCAGTCTATCCCGACGTAGTTGTGAATTGAACATGGCGACTGTACCAGTGTATTGCATCTGCAGATTACCTTACGACGTGACCCAGTTTATGATCGAGTGCGATGCTTGCAAGGACTGGTTTCACGGCAGGTAAGGCCAGATTGCTCGTCGAGCTGCTTCTGTAGGGGTTTGCATTTTGTGGGGGGAACAAACAAAAATGGCGAAGACTCGGCTGCGTTTTGACAGCTTTGTGGCTCTCAGTCGCCCGTCTACATCTGAAGAGAGGCCGCTTGGAGAAGAAGAAGAAGGCGGAGTTAAATATAGCCGACCGGGGTTGTGACATTTTTTCGCAAAATATAGCGAAACGGATTCCCGTGAATCAAAAACATACTTCGGAAAATAATATTATGGAGTGAGGGGCTTCGTCTGCTCATGTCTCCCGTGAGCTGTTTGACATCCTCCCGTATCCCCAAACTAAACTCTGCCTTCCCCTTGTCAGGAGCGGACAGCAGCGGGGGAAGCCTCGGCGGAGTCGCCGTTCTTGTGGGTCTCGTTTTTCCCTTTCCCCTCCGCCGCTACCACATTCCCTTTTTATTTATCAGCCATATTGTTGTTAAATGCTGCCACATATGGAGCGGTCTGTCGGTTTTCACTCGCTGTTCAAGCGGAGCGTGGTTTGGAAATCACGACCCGAGACCGAGCTCAGAGCCCCGCAGCAGAGTCTTCCTGCCAGGCGCCAGCCATGGCTGACAATAGCCCATGTTTATGGAGTTCTGACCCGTCAGCAGGGAGAGAAAGTGTAGTTGTTGTTAACAGTAATGGAAGCGGCTGGAGCCTCCGGTACTCTGGACTTATGGCCAGCCGCCGCGCTGCCTGTCTGAGTGGAGCGCAAATCGGATCCTCCGCTCATCTTCCGTTGTACAGGAGTCGCTACGATCTCCGCAGAATCCTTGTCAACATATGGCATTATTTGCCTCTCTTCTTTTTTTATAGTCACAAGCTACCCCGTCCGAACGTCAGCGGTGGTCTGCGTGTAATTCACACCGTTCGGCTACAGTCTGGGGCGTCTTACTTTAATTAGATCATTTGTTTAAAGCGTTTGTTTGAGTGAAGAAGCCCTACGGAGCGATGGACAGTATTTACGCGCCTGAATGTTAACCCCTTAATGCTTCCCTGACTCGTTGGGCTGCCTGCATGCCTGGGGCTTTATCTGTGAGTTAAACGCAGGGGAAGAGCCATGACCTGCAGTCAGGCATCAGCAGAAACTCAACAAGTACCTGCATTCAGAGGAATCATGTTGAGATATAAATTAGATGCAGGTTATGAAAAAAACTGAATGCTCATGTTTCCTGCAAACCTGTGTTATAATGCCCATTCAAATACAGTATGTTAGAAGCTAACATACTGTACATGAGCCCTTTAGAGATTTGTGTGTTTTTAGTCACTGTGAGTGGATCCACAGCTCCAGCAGCATAAAAACACAATCCACAGGGAACCAGTGTGTTATTCTGAAAAAAGCTTAGAGTTTTAAAGGAACAAACCTCACTTTGACTGGAAACTAACACCTATCTAACACAAAATCTATAAACTCGTACCGTGGCATTCTAACCATATTCTGCTTTGTTATATATCCTTTAATATCAGGTTTAGGACAGTTGGACAAAATAAACTAAATATGCAATATGACGTTGTTAAACACACTCTGACAGTATTAGCCTACTGTCAGAGGTAATAAAGTTGGATTATTTTGGGGGAAACAGGTGTTTTTTTTTTTTTTTTTTTTGCTGGAGTACATCTTTTCAAACAGACTGAGCCTATTTCTTCATAAAGCTGCTGCTTTTTTTTAAACTTCCAAACATTTTTTGTTTTGTTTTTAATAGTTAAGAAAAAAAACAGTTTATAGACATTTTAAGTGTCAGTGCTGTTGTTGATAACAGATGAGGGTTCTCAATAACTGTTGCTGTCATCGCAATCAATTTGAACGACATTTCTGTTTCAGTTCATCCAAAGGAAGGATACATATTTTTACTCGGTAGTCAGAATTCTGGGTTTATGACTGAATTTTGGCTCAGCAAGTCAGGAATTTCCCTCCAAACCCAAACCTCAAATAGGCCTGTCACGATAACAAATTTTGTTGAGCGATTAATTGTCTAAAAAATTATTGCGATAAACGATAATATTGTTTCAAGACCTTTTGACACTGATTTAATGGAAATGAAGTAATGATGCATGCTATTTTCTGCCATAGATATACACTTTATTTTCAAAAGAACACATAACACTGGAATTGATAAACTACCAAAAACAAAAATAAAATGGATTCTC